TGGGGAGGAAGAACCAGCACTATACCTAGAGGCTGGGGAACTCCCTCCTCATCAGTGCAGAGGTAGAAAAGGATCTTGGAGTCATCATCAATGTCAAGATGAACATGGGCTGGCAGTGTTGGGGACGCAGTCAGGAAGGCCAGCCGTACCTTGTCATGTATCCACAGATGCATCTCAAACAAGTCAAGAAAGGGAGCAGATGAAGCTAGGTGACTGGCTGATCTGTAGGCTTGCTTGAAACAATTGTCTCCTTGATCCATTAGGTTTCTTTCAGTCTTTCATTCTGCTGTTTTCCTACCTCAAAAAAGAGACATGCAGATAGCTCAGGAGTCAGCCCTGAATTCCTCTCAGAGCTGCTTTGGCAATCTTAGCCCTCTTTCATCTGCCCCTTAAAAGTGCAAGTGGGTAGTGACTGCCTAGGAGTAACAGGAGAGCTATGCAAAATATGTATTTAGGCCTGAACTTGGACCTGGCTGTAGCTTTCTAGGCAGCCAGTGAGCAAGTTATCAAACAAGGGAACCTGCGCTTCTCCTTCGCTTTCCAAAGGGCTTGAATGTCATGAGAAAAGTGTGACCATCTCTCAACACTACCGAGGTAGTGTAGTGAACCATTTTCCAGAGGAGACCCCAGACTAAAGAGCACAAAACTGTAAAAACTGTATTTGACAATTATAATTTTGGATTACAAAAAGCCTCAGGCTGTATTTTCCATTCACATGTAAGGCACATCTTAAATAATGAGGTTAATTATTTTGTGCTAAACTGTTGTAAAATAAGCTACATCTGCTGAGATGACGTGCACAGGAGCTGCACCCAATTTAAAATCCACTTTTTGACAGTGTACCAGGGAAACAGTTGACTGTCAGCCAAACTGCCTTGGCTGACAGCTCCTCTTGAGTGAAGCTTCCAGGGCACAGCTGCCTCTTTAGAGGAGGCATTGGCAAGAGCAAGGGGCTGCTTTAACAGGTGTTAGCTTCAAGCTTGAGTTACTTGCAGCCCAGTTGGCACCACAGCTGCAGTGACCACCACCTGGAAAAAGGCCTCACAGAAGCCCCCTGCCACAAAAATGATGCAGAAGCCCTCTGTCTCTGCAGCTGGATATAATGGCTTCACGGGCTAGGTTCATGCTGCAGCCTTAAATTGCCAATCCCTGCTTTGGCGGACCTTCGTCTATGGAGTATGTGATGCCCAGAGATGAGATGAGCTCATTTTGTTCCTCTAGGATTGTCAGATTAATTGTCTGAGTTTTTAAAAGTCCCAACTGATTGACTACCTCAAAGGGCAAGTTCTTGATGGTTTTTGCAAATAAGAAGTGGAGTGTGGAGTTGAGCACCTAGTTACTATAGCATCCAAAAGTCACTAGGTGATTTAAAAATGTAGACCCATCTCTTTAATCGCACCAGAAATGGGCTAATATAGCTGCCCAGCAACAGTTTCTATAGAATCCCTCTTGGTTGAAGCAACTTTCAGTGAAGCAGAAACTGTGGCTGTCCTTAGACAAGCATGATATAACCATCCATCCTATATGTAGTGGTAGAACCTAAGTGGCTGGGTATGTTAAAAGTAAAGAAAGAGAAAACGATCCAGGACTGCAAGAGTGTGTCTTCACATGCAGATGGTCATAACAGGAATGACATGGAATGGTACTTTTCTTTCTCTACAGGCTGCAATAGGTTCTCTTGCTCTAGATACTGCAAGGGCACAGCAGGATGAACAGCTGGAAAAATATGGCATGGATGTGCTGACAATAGCATTCCTCGCAATCCTGATCACAGCTCCCACTGGAGCCCTAGGTATTGGCCTGGCGGGGCCCAAACTTCTGCAGAAGGCTCAAACAAAGAGTGGGGAAGAGGAGGACGATGATGCAGGAAAGGAAGACATAGAAGCTCCTGGGCCATAGTAGGAATGTATGGAATGGTATGGTATAGTGGTCTCACAAGGGCTGCTGCTGCTGCTCTTTAGGAAAAGCAGCATTTGTATAATTTGTGAAGAAACTAAAGTAGTTTACCAGTCAGTTACAGGTCCTGCTTGACCAGCATGCCTGGTACTTTTATAAAATATTTTAAACTGTTGATGGAACCTTATGAGAAAAAACGAACTAAACATAGAACTGCCATTAACATAGGATGGCCTGAGGATAACTGAGGGGATAGAGGAGTAATTAATTAACTGTTAATGGGAGGGTGTAGGTGTGAGCCCTGAGAAGTGGTAATTTTTCTACCTTTTCCTCCCTGGATCTTCAAATCTGCCTTTTATGATCTGCCGAAATGGTATACACACCTTTGTAGCTGCAAGGAATCAGAGCCAGAAGTAGCAGGTGTTTTTGGAGTGTTAGAGGGGTGGGTGCAGGTGTAGTGTTGATTGTCTGGTGTTATCTGGTCTTGGGGATGGACAAAGTTTCTTAAAGGTAGGGTGGCTTCTGCTGGGCATATTTGACTCTCTGAACATCCCCCCTCAAAACCCATTACATATCCCTAAGACAGTGCATTTCAAAATGTAAAGCAAAAATGCTGAGTCATT